GTGAGCTCCATTTGCTAGGTGGACCCTCCCAGTCTACTCACTGTAGTCTGTGGCCCAAACAGTCTGGTACTTTCCTTTCTTTGGAAATTCCAGAAATCTTCCTCCATTCTCATCACACTTTAGTAACACTGACACCTCTCTGTTCCTGGAATGGCCCATGTACTTCCCCACTGTGGTAAACAGACTCTAAAATGGTCCCCATAATCCCTGCTTCCTGGTATTCATTCCTCTATATAATCTCCTCACCTTGGGGGCAAGACCTGCATCTAACCTTGCATCTAACCAATAGAATATGGCAAAGGTGGTAGGATATGCATGATTGCATGTATGTGATTCTGTTACACAAGATTATGACTTCTGTCTTGACTTTGAAGAAACAAGATGCAATGTTGTGAACTGCCTATGGAGAGGGCCACATGGCAAAGAACTGAGGATGACCTCCAGCTGACAGTAAGAAACTGAGGCCCTCATTATGACAGCCTGCAAGGAACTGAATGCTGCTAATAACCACGTGAACTTGGAAGTGGATCCATCCCCAGTTGAGCCTCAGATGAGACCAGGCTTTGACTGACACCTTGATTATATAGCCTTGCAGAAGAGCTGTCTAAGCAATGCCTGAACTCCTGACCCACGGAAACTGTGAGATAACAAATTCATGTTATTTTAAGCTGCGAAGTCTGTGGTAATTCATTATACAGCAACGGATAACTCTACACCCACTTCTGGGCCTTTTCTCCTGATGCCTCTCAAGTTGGACTGTTTCTCTCCACACTGTTTGCATGGTTTGCTCCTTCTAATCCCTTCAGAATGTAGCAGACACTGAGTTGACTGACCTAGCATTCTTCCCCACACCACCTCCCTCGCTTGCTTCTATTGAAGAGACTGGGAATGTTAATGTATCACTTTCTCAGCCTCTGTTGCTGCAAGGAGCACCATATGACCTTATTCTGGCTGAGATATAAGAGGAAGCTTACTGAGTGGGATTTCTGGGAAGACCTTTTGCCCTACTAATAATAGGAAACAAACATGGCTCCCCTACACAGACACTGGTGAAGAGAGGGACTCAAGTGGCTAAGGTTTTACCAGTTCAAAGCTGATTACAGAGCTGACAAACCTAAACATGATACCGTGGCCTGAACCAATCTGATTCTCCTATGGAGAATTTGAACCTAGAAATGCTTGAAGGGCAGCAGAAGATGTTATTATATATACTCTGAAGTTACAGAGAAGCAATGACCAGTGACTTACATAGAAATTCAATCTGAATTGAGAGAATGAAATGAATTCATAGATTAGTGAAAATGAGAAACTGCGTAATAAGAGAGAAACAGCTTCTTTGTGGCATTCGAGTTGCCAAGAGGCCCAGGAGTAATTTCTGAAATTGAGTTATCTGATATTTCTCAGTGTTCTCTCAGTTAATCCCCATTCAAACTATATTCAAAGGGTTTAATGTTCTTAACATTAAAAATTCTTGACTAAGATATTAATATATGAAACATTCAGCCAGGTGCAGTGGCTTGCATCTTAATCCCAACACTCTGGGAGGCCAAGGTGGAATGATCGCTTGAGCCCAGGAATCTGAGGCTGCAGTTGGCCATGATTGCACTACTGCACACAAGCTGAGCGAAAGAGCAATACCTTGTCTCAAAAAAATACAAAGGTATATAGGATATTCACATTTTTCTTTTTTCTTTCTTTCTTTTTTTTTTAGACGGAGTCTCGCTCTGTCGCCCGGGCTGGAGTGCAGTGGCCGGATCTCAGCTCACTGCAAGCTCCGCCTCCCAGGTTTACGCCATTCTCCTGCCTCAGCCTCCCGAGTAGCTGGGACTACAGGCGCCCGCCACCTCTCCCGGCTAGTTTTTTGTATTTTTTAGTAGAGAGGGGGTTTCACCATGTTAGCCAGGATGGTCTCGATCTCCTGACCTCGTGATCCGCCCGTCTTGGCCTCCCAAAGTGCTGGGATTACAGGCTTGAGCCACCGCGCCCGGCAGGATATTCACATTTTTCAAGAATGGTTCATCTGTTAGGCTAAAATCTACCCCTCTTTTACTTATCCTCCATGGTAATTTATCTGCCCTCTGGAACAACAAGGAACACATTTATCCCTCTACTTGAAGCCTGTCAGACACTAAAATAATGGAGTCCTCTGTCCCTAAATTTTCTCTTTTCCAAACCCAATAAAACCCTGTCAGTAGGACATGGATTTGAGCCCGTGTTCCAGCCTCTCACTTATTCCTCCTCTGGATAAATTCTGACTGGTCACTGACTTGTTCAGAATATAGAATCTAAAGTCCATTCTTGGAAATGGAGTAATCTGGCTGTCCTGATGACAGGGTTAAGATCACTTGCATTCTCTAAAGTAATTCTACTAGTCCTTAGAACTATGGAGCCATCACTTGACTGCTCTAAACTTGTTATTGGAACCTTTGCTTATGCCTGGATGAACTAATAGTTTTCTTCTTTTTAATTTTTTTCTGAGACAAGGTCTTGTTGCGTTGCCCAGGCTGGAGTACAGTGGCTGGACCTCAGCTCACTGCAACCTCTGCCTCCCAGGTTCAAGTGATTATCCTGCCTCAGCCTCCCAAGTAGCTGGGATTACAGGTGCCTGCCACCATGCCCAGCTAATTTTTGTATTTTCAGTAGAGACAGGGTTTCACCATGTTGGCCAGGCTGGTCTCGAACTCCCGACCTCAAGTGATCTGCTCACCTCCACCTCCCAAAGTGCTGGGATTACAGGCATGAGCCATCATGCCTGGCCCAGTTTTCTTCTTTTTGAATAATGTAACTAATCATACCTCTCTGTTTTATTGTTACCAGGAAGCTTAGAGACACATAAGAGATATAGGGGCAGATATCATGTAGGCCCAGCATATATTTTTTTACTTTTTACCCATATCTTGACCTCTTGCTATTGTTAAAAATATTTTTTCTGATTGTAATTTCTATTTCTAATTTAGCACCATTTTGTAATGTTGTATATAAACTGCTTCAAATCTTCCACAGGAAAAACTGCTTCAAATCTCCCATGAGAAAAATGTGGGGAAGTAAATATCATGAATGAAATGAAAGATTGGAAAGGAAAGGAAGGGAATGAAAAGGAATAGACTGTTTAGGAATGTAACTGAAAGAGATGGCAAAAGCATAAATGAAATGGAGGGAAACTGAATAGGACAGAAAGGAATACAATATAAATTAAAGGCAGAGAATGGAGTGAAATAAAATGGCATGATGTCCAAAGAAGTGCAAATGAAAGAAATTAAATGAAAAGAAAAATTGTTGTGGAAAGAAAGAAACAAAGGAAAATCAAATGGAGCAGAAAAGAGAGTAATAAAATAAGGTAATGAGGGGGAGAGAAATGGAGAGGAAATGGGAGAAAAGTAATATAGTAGAAGGAAAGTCTAACATTAAAGAACAAAAATTAAGCAACAAAATTAAAAAAAAACAAAAGGGATGAAATGGAATGCCATGGAATATAAAATAATGAGATGAAATGAAACTGAAATCAATGGTGTAAAGAGTAGGAAATGCAAAGGACTGCAAAGAAATGGAAAGAGCTTAAATGAAGTGAAAAGGAGTGGAATGGAATGACTTGAAGAAATTAAATGGAAAGCTTCAAAAGGAAAGTAATAAAGACAAGGGAATGAAGTGCCATAAAGGGCATAAAGGGACAGGATGAAGTGAGAAAACATGGAGTAGAATGGAATGGAATAGAATAGAGTGGGATGGATTGGAGAGAAATGAAAAGGGAAAGGAATTGAAGAGAACAGAGGGAGAGGAATGGAAAACAGTGAAATAGAATTGAATGAAAGGGGAGGGGATGGAGAAGAGAAAGTGAATGGAAAAGAAAGAAGGGAATGGGAAAAAAGAAAAAGTGAATGGGAAAGGAATATAAAGAATAAGAACTGGAATGCAGTGGAATGAAATGAAAACCAATCAAATGGAAATGAATGTAAATAGGGACATTGACTAGGAAGGAATGGAGAAGTAGAAAACAGAACGGATGAAATGGATTAAATATATGGATGGAAATAAGAGGACTGAAATGGGATGGGAAGAGTAAGAATGGAAATGAAATAAAGTCGTGGGATGGGAATTGAGTGGGCTGGAATAAAATAGAGTGTAATGGAATGTAAAATAAATGAATTGAAATGAATTAAAAGAAAAAATAAAAATGGATAAAATGTAATAGAAAGGAAAAGAATGAAAAGGAATGAAATAAGAAAGAGATGGAAAGGAGTGTAAAGGGATCAAACAGAGCTGAGTGGGATGGAATGAAAAGGCATGGAATGAGCCAGACATGATGGCTCATTCCTGTAATCTCAGCACTTTGGGAGGCCAAGGCGGGCAGATCAATCGAGGTCAGGAGTTCAAGACCAGCCTGGCCAACATGGTGAAACCCCATCTTTACCAAAAAATAAAAAAATAAGCTGGGTGTGATGGCTCAAGACTGTAGTCCTAGCTACTCAGGAAGCTGAAGTGGGAGAATCCCTTGAACCTGGGAGGCGGGGGTTGCCGTGATCAGAGATTGAGTCACTGCACTCCAGTCTGGGTGATGGAGCAAGAACCTGTCTCAAAAAAATAAATAAATAAATAAATAAAAGAAAAAAAAAAGAAAGAAAAGAAAAGGCATGGAATAGAGTAGAGTGAATGGGAAGAGATAGGATGGGGGGAAATAGAGTGAAAGGAAATAAACCAAATGGGATGGAAAGAAAATGGCAGAGTGAAGTGATATGGAAATACAGAAAATGAATAAAGCTAAATGGATAGAAAGGAAATGGGTGGAGTGAAACATGGAATGCAATAAAATGGAGTGCATTGGAAAGGAATGAAGGAAAACTAACTAGAAAATGACACGATGGAAACGGGTAGGATGGAATTGAGAAGATTTTTAAAGGGAAATTTTCTTTATAGTTCATCCTACAGACTCTTTAGTAGGGAAGAAAAACCAGATTGGTGACAGATTTCCACCTGTCCAAAGACTCAGTGTGGCATAAACATACCTCATAGATTGACTCCGTGTTTTTTGGCACAGTGGAGGGCAATCTGAGTGGGGGCATCAGAGGTTTGGGTGGTGGCTTCCACGGGCTGAAGGAATTGCCTCCAGGGCTTGCTGAAGGCAGCTTTGTCTGCAAGTAAGCAGAGAAATCAGGCAGGGCCTACAGTCATAGATTGCCAGGAATGTACCAACTTACACTTTTCAGAGACCCAGAGAGTGGAAGGAATCTGTTCAGATTCTTGCAGAGAATCAGAGGTGGAAGCAGGGTTAGAACCCAGGCCCTTGCCCTGGCCCAGAACTCTCCTTTTTCCTGCTGGCTCTGCAACCTTTACTCCCAGCCTCCTTTTCACCCCAGCATGTGCTGGTCCAGTACCACCTCACTGGCAGTCCAATTCCAAGCCCTGGAGGTGGAAGGAACAAAAGAGGATCCAGGGTCTTGGCATCTGACCCAGCTCCCTGTGAGGCCTTAGGCTACTCTCTTCCCATTCCTGGCCCTGTGCTGTGCCATGAAAGCTTTAGACAAGATCATCTGTCAGGCTTATCACACATAAAATTCTCAAACTGTCTTTCCTCCACAGATTCTTTAACCAAACCCAGCAGGGCCAATGTACCTCATAGGTCTCCTCTGGAAGGTCTGGTGGTTGCATCTGGGGAAAAACAAAGTTTCAGAGAGGTCATAGGGCTTGGAACAGGGGCACCCCAAGAGATTCTCAGAAAACAGCTTTGGCCTCAGAGGCAGTTATAGCTCTTCTGATTCCCAGAGGGCTCAAAGCTAGGAACTGTCATGTCAAGGAGTAAGAAGACGAGGAGAAGAGATGAAAAAACTCGGAAGGGTCTTAAGATCCTCAGAGAAGTCAAAGGAGGAGATGCAGAGAGACTCAACCTGGCACTGGGTTTTCTCAAAATATCATGCCAGTCCCCACCCTAAGAAGTAAGACTACAGCAGCCTGGTCGGCGGATCAAGGAGGGTCCCTCTGCAGCATCACTCACCTTTTCGACTCTGATCCGTCCCTGAAGCTGGGATATGTTGCAATACTCAGGACTCAGGCTTTCTAGAAAAAGTGAATCTCATCAGGAGCTGGAGTTAGAAAGAGATATGGGGCAAGGGGCTGTTTTTCCAGGACCCCTGTCCCCAGAAAGGAAGTGCAGAAGTCTTCCTTCCCAGGACTCCCTGTCGTATTTCCACTGAGCTTGACCTGGGAATGTCCTGGAAGTCAAGTTCTGGGTTAGGTAAGGCTGTCTGGTGACACAAATGAGGAGAGAAGTCTAAGTTCTAGCCCCAGTTTTGACAGTGGGTCCTCTGTAGCCTGGGTTTAGCCCTTTATCCCTCACGGCCTTGATTTTCCTCTCTGTAAAATGGGGCTGGATTGGACAGTTTCTAGAAAGCCTTCCATATCAAAAGGCCTATCCTTCCAGAATCCCAGACCTAGAGATGGCAAATGTTTCATTTTGTCTTTGGTTAACTCTAACCCATCAGTAGAGGGCACTCGAGGCACTCTATTGAGATATGAGGCTGGATTTGGATTCAGCAGGAAGGAGTGTTGTGATTGATTCATTCTGTCTACAACAATCAATTAACAAAGTTTTCTGAGATTGAGAAAGGAGAGCATTCCAGCATGTTGTCCTGCTTTTGCCATGACTGTTGAAACAGGCAGAACCCGTCAGAGGGCTTGACTCCAATCTCATCCATATTCCAGATGGGAACACAGAGGCTCAGAGTGGGCAGGGTTTGCCCTGATCATACAGTGACCTGGTGGCAAAGCTGGGAGCCCCCAGCACCAGCCTCTTCTCCAGCCCTCACCCCCGCCCCAGGCATCATCCATAGAGTCACTCACCGGAACTGGGCTCTGTGGGGTGCTCCTCCTTTGGAGTGGGTTGTGAGGTCTCATGACTGGGGTCCTCTGTTGTTTTCCTTGAGGGCCTGAAACCCCAAAACCCTCATTCTTCTGTGCCTCTAGTCCTTGCCCATCTCCACAGGTTCTGTCCGTATACCATGTCCATTCTTGGACAATGCCCCCAGCCCTCTGAATTCCCCAGGTGCCAGACACGACTCAGCACCATGGTCAGCAACACGCCAGGCAGGCGCGCCCCCTGCTGGCCACACCCCCATCCCCCACCCTGTATCCCTGTATTACCGTCTGGCATTTCTGATGTAGAGAAAATAGCCCAGTTCTGAGGCCACAGCAATGACAGCCAGGATCCCGATGATAATACCAGCAATGGCCCCTGAGGACAGGGAGGAGGACTGGGGACCTGGGCAAGGAGAGAGAATCAAGACCCAGGCCTGACACACCCTCATCCCTGCCCCCAGCCCATTCCCAAGCTTGCAGCTTTTTCTCTACTGACATTTTGTGAGCACTGGTTTTCCAGTCGTTGGGAGGCATCAGATTGTGGTTCTTGGTTTTTGGTTTTGCTTTTTTTTTTTCCCAGACAGAGTCTCGCTGTGTCACCCAGACTGGAGTGGAGCGGCACGACCTCAGCTCACTGCAACCTCCAGGTTCAAGTGATCCTCCCACCTCAGCCTCCCCGAGTAGCTGGGACTACAGGTACCTGCCACCATGCCAGGCTAATTTGTTTTATTCTTTGGTAGAGAGGGGGTTTCACCATGTTGCCCAGGCTGGTCTGGAACTCCTGACCTCAAGTGATCCATCCGCCTCAGCCTCCCAAAGTGCTGGGATTACAGACATAAGCCACTGCACCTGGCCTCAGTCTGTGGTATTAACAGCATCATTTCTAAAATAAATATCCAGTTTCTGGGTCCAAATTTCAGCAGTGACTTTGGGCATGCTACTTAACCTCTCTATGCTTCAGTTGTCTCTTTTGTAAAATGAGAACAACAGGGTTTATAGGACTTCTGGAAAGATTAAACATATATGTATTCATGTTCTATATATATAGTGTTTGTTTGGAACCATGGAAAGTGATCAGTAAATGTTGGCCATGATGACAACGCCAATAAGCATAATGGATCAAATATGGCTTTGCCTTTCTTTCCTCCCAGAAAAGAGGCACACACCAGAGAAAAGAGCTTTGGCAACCAGAAACCCGGCTTTGACTTAGAACCCCTTGACTCGCTGGGGCCGTGTGACCGTGGACAAGTGAATTCATTTCTGAGTCTCATTTCTTCATCTGTAAATAGCACAGGATGTTTGCAAAGATGAGATGAAATCATGAATGTTGACACCTGGCACATAGTAGGTGATTAACAAATGGCAATTGTTTTCATTAATCAGGTCTGCCGATTGCCCATCTCACTTCTGCCTGAACCTTTCTCAAAAGGGTGAAATCGAGCCACTGGAATTAAGAACACAGCCACAAGGGTCAGAAGTGTGAGGAAGGAGCTCTGCTTTGGAGGGGCAGGAGGGAACTTCCTGGGGTGCCTCAGGGATTCTTAGTTTCATTCTCTGCACCTCCATTTTTCTTTCCCCGCAGCCCCCCTCCTCGCTTTTTTTTTTTTTTTTTTAGATGGAGTCTTGCTCTGTTGCCCAGGCTGGAGAGCAGTGGCACAATCTCAGCTCACTGCAACCTCCACCTCCCAGGTT